GAAGAAAAAGCTTTAAAGCTTTGTTGGCATTTATTACAGGTATTTTTTTGAGATGACACACCCTTCTTTAAAGTAAATACCACAGGACGAAAATTTTTGAATATAAAAAAGTAAAAACGTATTTAAGTTTTAAACCCTCCACCATAATGTGGGTATCCAAAATACCTATAATGGCATCTTTATTTAGTTTTGGTAGAAAGACTTGACATCCTATGATAACGAAATTGTAGACAATTTGGATAAAAATACCGAATAATTTTACCGTTAATGACAAATTGAATACACACACCACCTTTTGGTACAGGGTTAACAAGTACAGGTCCCTAACAAAGAATCAATATTCGTATGTTTTTATGGCCTATTTCTTCTTTTTTTCTTCCTTATCCGATCCTTGCTCAGAAAACCTGTGGCAATATTAGGTTGGGGAGAAAAAATCCAATATTTTAATATGAAATATAGGACTTTATATAACATGCTTTAAATGTCCGATTTGGGCCAAATATGCACCGTTTTGTTGTATGATTTGTTGCCATTTTAACTCTAACTTTCTGTGGATATTTATTCCGAGCCAGTGCAATATTTCGTGATATTTGACCAGCTAAATATTGATCAATCAGGATCAAAACAGGCATGCTTTTTCTTTGGCACGATTTCCTTCTCCGTGTAAAAATTCGCGATGTTTGGGTCGCCACTGGGCGACCAAAGATCCGACATACATAAAGTTGTTGGTCCATTTCATCCCCTAAAAACAATAAGGGTCTTCATTGGCCAGAACCCATCCTATAAGCATGCACATATATCGTGAAGATTGGTCCATAACTGTGGCCTGTATCGTGTTTACACATTATAATAGTCAGACGGACGGACACACATGTATAAATCGACTCATCTAGTCGAGATATGACTGACAACATAGTTGTGTATGGCAAAAAATTTACAAATATAATTTGTGTTAACGTTCTTAAATTTTGTTATTGGTCAGCCAATCATTAATTAATCAAACTGATTTATAAATGCTAATAGATGTCATTATACATTTTGATAACATTGTTAAAAACTGTTGGTCACGTTATTCTGTGACAAGTGTGAGATATTTTTTTAGATTATTGATTTAAATTATAATAAATATTAAAATCGTATCTGAAAAAAATACAATACCCTTAGTGTGAATTAATTAATGTCGTTAACAAAACGATGATCTTTATTTGATCATATTAATTTGCATAATTTAACAGTTCAGTTATTTAAAAGGCATTTTAAATATTTAAGAGGCAATATCGGACTAATTGATGACATGTTTCGATTTCAATAAATTTAGACGAATCTACAGCACAAGGGGTATACTACATATTTCCAAAAATACACAACTTTATTGAGGAAACAATAAAGTTGTGCATTTAAAGGTTTAGTTGTTAATTAAAAAAATAATTTGAAAATTTTTTCCAATAAAAAAAATCGTATTAACCTTCATTTTTTGCATTTTTTTAATTTTCGCATATTTTCAAAATTATGATGTATTGTAGGCCTAAAACCACATTTTTAATTATCCCCATTATTTCCATCACATAAGTCCCACTTTATTTGTAAAAATAGAAATAAAAAAATGAATTATGTTTGTGGTTGCAAAATGTTGTAGCCAACATAATCCGTACAGCAATTCATTCATTTGTCAGAGAGCCATTTGATATATGGCTCAAATAAAACAATTTGATTTTATAACATTTTTGGGGTTTTATTTCAAATGCTAAATCATATTTAGGCTGCTAATTTGTTTATGTGTGAGAACGAAAAAAATGCTAATAACAACTGGAAGTTATACACATTACAATGATAGATAACCGACAAAAAACATTTACTAACCCGTTTAGACATAAGTTTTGCATGTTAATGTGCATGTTAATTTTTTGAAGAGGAAATAATATTTTTTTTGTTTATATGAAGATAATAATAATTTTTTATTTTTTCTTTTCAGGTAAATATTATTTTAATAGGAAAGTTCAATTTTTGTAAGTTGGCATAATATCTTATTTGAATAATATTATATAATTTTTAAAATGTTTCAAAACTTAGATTTTTAACTTTTTTTAAGATCTATTAAATTTTGTTTTTGCAAAAACTTTTTCGTTTACGCATTTTGTATGAAATATATTTTTTTTAACTAACACAAAACTCGATTTAAACCAGCAAGGAATGTAGTAAAGTCGGACTGGGCCGACCACTTTGGGGATATTCTACATATGTATCATAACAGACGTCGCCTTTTCTAAATTATATATAATAGCTAAATCTGAACCGATTTCAAGAAAACTTGCTAGATATTATTTTTTATTAATTTCCTTACGTTTTGTCAACCGGCCTAGGGATGGGCCTCTAGTGCACCATTTACTTAAAATCGGACGAAAGTATACATAGAAGCTATATGTAAATCTGAACCAATTTCAAGAAAACTTGACACACGAAAGGTTACAGTAACAGTACATTGTACAAAATTGTGTGCCGATCGGCCAATCTTTGGGTCTTTAGTTCACAATTTATATAAAATCGGTCGAAAATAAATATGGAAGCTATATCTAAATCTGAACCGATTTTCACGAAACGTATCACGCATCATTCTGGACCTAATTCAGAACTCTATGCCAAATTTTGAACGATATATAGGAACTTTGGTGCCCCATTTACCTTAAGTCGGATGAAAATATATATGGGACCAACATATATATCTGAACTGATTTTCTCCAATCTTGGCACCCTTCATTCTAGACTCAATTCAGTACACTATGCAAAATTTCGTGTAAATCAAAAGATATATACGTCTTTGGTGCACCATTTACCTTAATTCGGACGAAACTATATATGGAAGTTATATCTAAATCTGAACAGATTTTCTCGAAACTTGGCACATACCATTCTGGGCTTAATTCAGTACTCTGTGCCAAATTTCGTGCAAATCGAAAGGTAGATATGAACTTTGGTGCCTCATTTACCTTAAATCGGACGAAAACATATATGGGAGCTATATATAAATCTGAATCGATTTTCTCGAAACTAAACACATATCATTTTAGACCTAATTCATTACGCTGTGCCAAATTTCGTGCAAATCGAAGGATATATAGGAACTTTGGTACACCATTTACCTTAAATCGGCCGAACCAATTTTTTCCACTTTCAATGATCAAAAGGAACCGAGGGTCTATCTCGATTAAAAATGTTGTTTTTCAAGGACGAATAATGAGTACGTGTGGGGATTTTTATATCCACAAGGTGCATCACAAGAGACCTCATAAAATATTCTTAATCAGAATAAATTGCTATATTCACATATCACTCTCCGTCTGTTGAAATAACGATTTTCAAGATAGAGCTTTGATATTTGCACTTCCAGTATTACTACTTCTTGGATGTTGGTATTTAAAATACTTTTGTTTTCAAGCACAAAAACTTTTGTTTAAATACATCTTCCATGACCTATGCATACGTGGAATCTACTTTTTTAATAATTATTTCTGCATTTTTTTTAAAAACATATCCAATATAATGTCCAATATCTTGGAGTATTTATTTATTTTTTGTGAAATTAAGTTTTTGTTTCAAATTCCAATTTTCAGTTTTTTTTACATTTGTTTGTTTGCCTTCAAGTCACCAAAGAGCTGTAATGGTTCATTAATCAATAATTATAACCTAAAGCCATAGTTTTGCATTGGACCATATCTTGGTAAACTTGTTAACAAATATACGTAATGATGTGGGGTGGTGTTGGTACTCACTCACTGTATGAATAAAAGGGTGGAAATGGAAAACTTCTTACACAATGCACTTTCCAAAAAATCATAAAAACCTAAATGGGATGGTCGTTAAAAAAAATCTTCTTTAAGAAATCCACGCTTGGAGAAGAAATATTCGTTAAAAAATCCACGCCTTAGGTGATCCTTAAAAAAATATTCTTTAAAAGAATCCACGCCCTAGGTGATCCTTGAAAAAATATACTTTAAAAAAATTTAAGCCTTAGGTGATCCTTGAAAAAATAAACTTTAAAAAAATTTAGGCCTTAGGTGATCCTTGAAAAAATATTCTTTAAAAAAATCCACGCCTTAGGTGATCCTTGAAAAAATATTCTTTAAAAATCCACGCCTTAGGTGATGCTTGAAAAAATATTCTTTAAAAAAATCCACGCCTTAGGTTATCGTTGAAAAAATATGCGTTAAAAAAATCCACGCCTTAGGTGATGGTTAAATAAATATTCATTAAAAAATCCATGCCTTAGGTGATGCTTGAAAAATATTCTTTAAAAAATCCACGCCTTAGGTGATCCTTGAAAAAATATTCTTTAATAAAAACCCACGCCTTAGGTGGTATTTGAAAAAATATTCTTTAAAAATCCACGCCTTAGATGATCGTTGAAAAAATATTCTTTAAAAATCCACGCCTTAGATGATCGTTGAAAAAATATTCTTTAAAAATCCACGCCTTAGGTTGTCCTTGAAAAATCTTCTTTAAAAATCCAAGGTCTAGGTGATCCTTGAAAAAATATTCTTTAAAAAAATCCACGACCTAGGTGATCTTTGATAAAATATTCTTTAAAAAAGCACGACTTAGGTGATGCTTGAAAAAATATTCTTTAAAAAATCCACATTCGTTTTTAAATCTGCCCTTATGATTTTACTTTTAAGTTTAGATTTTCTATAAATTAACTATTTTTTAAAAAATATAGGAAATCTTTCATTTTTTCACCCCACCCCAATACACCCAATATTTGCATAGATGACTGAATATGTATTTGACGTTATGTATATTTACGAAGAAAAATCCAATGACAAACTGAAAACCGTCAATACAAATCGAAAAAATATTTTGTTTTGTAAACGACAAAAAAATATTGACTAGGAAAACTTTAGGCTAACCGCAATGCCAGTAATCAGCCAACAAGACTGCCGGCCACCATATTAGAAATTTGATACAAGTGACCGAAAAAATCAAAAAGCCGTAGAAACTGTAGCAGCATGGAAAATGGAAAACAACAACAGCGAGAAACCACCAACCAGTCACCTAACCGTCACATTGGCTTAGATTGGTGGTTTGTTTTACTTCAAGAAAAAAACCAAAAACAACAAATCAAGTCTGAAACACCACCACCGCCGCCACAAAACCAAAATCAACAACCAGCCAAGAAGCGAAACATTCCCGCACAATACTCCAAAAAGCCTATGGGCCAAGGTATGTTTGGTCTGGTAAAGTTTTTTTGTTTAGAAACAGAAAAATTGCTGTTGTTGTTGTGTAGTTTTTCTACATCAAGTCAGTTAGTGTTGTTATTTATTAACATTTTTTTCTACATGAAAGAATTTACCTTTCGATATTGCTTAATTTTCATACTCGTCGTATGTACCCCTCACCCAAAGCAAAAGAAAAAATCAGCACCAAAATACAAAAATATTTTTTTTTTGTTTTATTTTTTCTTTGTAATGTTAACAATATATGAGTTCGGTTTTTTGTGGTGTTTTATTATGCCAATATTGCATATAGCCTATTTCTAGAAGTAAGGTAGTCGTAGCCTAGACTTGGCTAATATTGTAATATAAATTAGTCAGTGGCTAAATAAATATTTTGGGCAACCTGCAATAAATTCCAAAGTATTACAAAGTATCGGAATTGCTGTTGTTGTTTTTTTATTTTGGAAATTTTCCAAAGAATGTAGACAATGTATGGCCAGTTAGTTAATTGGCTGGTAAAGGGATTGATTGGAAGATACATTTTAAATATAAAGTTTTCAAGGACCACCTAAGTCGAGGAATTTTTAAGGATATTCTTTCAAGGACCACTTAAGGAGAGGATTTTACAGGATATTTTTTCAAGGTCCTCCTAAGCCAGAGATTTTTAAGGATATTTTTTCAGAACCACTAAAAGCTTGATTTTTAATGAATATTTTTCAGCGACCATATAAGAAGGTGTGGATTTTTTAAATAATATTTTTTTAAGAACCTATGGCGTGGACTTTTTAGTGACTATTATTTAAGCACCATATAATGTGTGGATTTTTAAAGAATATTTTTTGAAGGACCTCATAACGCGTGGATTTTTTAAAAAGCATTTTTTCAATAACAATCTAAGTCGTGGATTTTTATAGAATATTTTTTTAAAGAACCACATACTGAGTAGGTATTTTAAAGGATATTTTTTCAAGAACCACTAAAGACGTGTATTTTTAAAAAAATCTTTTTTCAATGACCACTAAGGCGTGTATTTTTTATTACTATATTTTTTGAAGGACCACCTAAGTCGCGTAATTTTTAAAGAATATTTTTTCATGCATCACCTAAGGTGTGGATTTTTTAAAGCACCAAGCACCACCTAAAGAGCGGACCTTTTAAGAATTTTTTTTTCAAGCTCCACCTAAGGCCCGGACCTTTTAAAGAATATTTTTTGAGGACCATTTGAGGCGTGGAAGTTTTAAAAAAATATTTTTTAAAGACCTGCTTAGGCGCGGAGTTAAAAATATATATAAGGTGTGGATTTTTTTAATCTTTTTTAATATTCAAAAAATTTTTGTTTTTACTCCATATTTTCTTTGCCATTTATTCGCTAAGTTATGATCAAATTCAATCAACCAGATGCATATCTTGTTTTGTCATAATGTACGCCTTTATAGCTCTGTTAAATCTTTTTTTTTCCTCAAACCGACAAAAAGTGCATTTCAATCAAAATACTGAAAACATTTTTCTCGAGACAGCAAAGTCATGACATGACAAATTAAAAATCATTGATTGAGGGGAAACATAAAACATGACATTTGAGTTGTAGCTAAAAAGAGGGGAACCGCCATCAACGTTGTAAAAAGAATTTGAAATATTGTGCTAGAAATTATTGATTTCAATCAATGATAATTGATACCGTTTCCACCAAGAACAGCAGCCAATACAGAGAGCAATGCAGAAACTCAGCTAGATGACCAACAAAGAATGACAGCAGGAAGTTGGTAATTTTTTGAAATTGAAAGATATATAAATTTTATTTGCACATGGTTTGGAAGGTATGAGACATTCCATGAATACTCTCGAGTATATAGACTTTTTTTGATTTTGGTCTTCAGGTAGTAAGTAACTTCTGGCGTTCTACAGTAGAAGGCCTTTCAGCGGCCTAAGAAAACTTCTGTAATATAACCTGGAACGAAGACCATATTTTCTTCAATGGTAAAATTATATATTCAGACCCATTCTCTGGTTAATATGGTATTCTTTGTCCAAAACCGGGGGTAGCTCATAGTTATAGATAACATACGAAATAGTTGTGTAGGGTATAAATACTGTTTAACCCTGTAGACGGCGAGTCCACATTTCCACAGTTTGCAGTGAATATATTGCAATGCAGAATTATGTTTTAAGACGCATGTTCTATAAGCAAATATCAGTTAAGATATTATGTATATTTTTGCCAGAATGAATATTAAATGAATATTTGCCTATTGATTATTATTTATTAGCGCCAGAATCATTTTTTTAGAAGAATTTAGTAAATAAATTGGCCGGTTATAGGGTTGAAGACTATTCAAGATTAAAAAAAAAAACTTTTTCAAGGACTATGTTTTAATTTCCACAAAATGTATTTTTATACCCTTCAACACTGCGGTACAGGGTACAGGGTAATACGTCTTTGTGCATATGTTTGTAACGGGCAATAGGTAACGAGATAGACACATGATTCCTTTTGAGAATATGCATATAATCACTTTTTAAGTCAATTTATGCATGTCCGTCCGTTCGTCTGTCTATGTTAAATTGTAAACAAAGTACAGGACGCATTAATGATTCGAATTGGATGAAATTGGGCTCCCAAATATTTTCGTCCGACTTAAGATAAATGGTGCACCAAAGTCCCTAAATATCTTTCCATTTGCACGAAATGTGGCACAGCGTACTGAATTAAGCTTAGAATGGTGTGTGCTAAGTTTCATGAAAATCGGTTCAGATTTAGATACAACTCCCATATATATTTTCGTCCGATTTTATGTAAATGGTGTACCAAAGTCCCTATATATCATTCGATTTGCACGAAATCGGTTTAGATTTAGATATAGCTCCCATATATATATATATATATATGGGAGCTATATCTATACGTATTTTATTTGAAATACGTATTTCGATTGAAATTAAATTTTTAACAGTGCGGCTTACCGAATAGCGTGTATCAATTTTGCTATATATCTTTTTACATAAATTTGTCCCATGCTACGCAGACGACTCTAAATCTGTCCGAATGACATTAAATTTATCATAGGTTCCACAAAGACACGGGTATGTTCCTACTAGGGAACATTGACATTCAATTGTAAGGATACATATGTACAATATGCCAAAGTGGTGAAGGGTATCATATATTCGGTACAGCCCGACTTTACTACTTTCCTTACTGGTTAGTGATGTATACATTTACCACATATGGCTATTAACGCTGAGTGGACACTTTCAACTTTATTCTATAATAACGAAATTACTCAATCATATATTCTTCGACGAAGACGAAAAAAAAACTGGGACATATGTAAATCTATTAATTGTTACACTTTGTTTTCTTTCTTATCGACGGAATCAATCAAATGCAATCGCATATGCAAATCTAATTGAAATACTATTGAATTGCATTGCTGCAACATTAGCATTTGCAATCAAATGCTACACTTATGACACATTTCGTACTCGAATGGGTGTAATTTCAAGCAAAAACAAATCGAAAAACAAAACTAATTTACATATTCCAAAAGAACACTTTAAGGTGGGACATTGTACCATTTTGTCGAGCTTGATTGATTGATGAGTTCAAATTGATTGTATCCGATTTCTATGAAATGTCTGTCATATCATTGTGAATTAAAGTCCATTGACGTGGGGGAATTAAAGTGAACTAATATTAAAACGGGCATTGGTAGGGGGAAATGGGGAGGGAACATTTTTGTAATTTGTATACAAAATATTTTTTATAAATAAAAAGTATTGAATTATTTATCACAAAACTCTATTTCTTTTAGGAAAAAAAATATTATTTTTTCCGTTGACTATTTTGGAAACTAATTTTCTATGCGTATATGTCCGAATTTTTATATATATTAGAAGGATGAATTTCAACAACAGCAAGTACAAATAATGCTATGACACGAAGGAAGCAAACTTCAACAGAGATCATATTATATAGTCTATTCCATTAACTAATCCATTTTTGTTGTTGTATATTCTATATAAAAACATAACTTGTAATACAATTATCATATCATATTTATTATTTATGGTTATGCATTTCCTCAATTTCTACCGGATATCAAAGTAAAAAGTCAATCAACATGTGTAATGTAGTAATTTGCATTTTATATTGAGAACATTTAGGTCATATGACCTATGTTTTCACAAATCAGTTCAGTTTCATTTCAAAGTGAAGTGTGAAAAGTACAATAAATTTCTGACACGCTAATTTGAATATACACAGGTAAAATTATTTCCATAAATGTAAAGGAAAAAGTTCAATATTTTTTAAATAGTTAATATCCTGTCAGAGATTCCTGAGACCAACGATTATATCGATTTTGTATTAGGGAATTTCAAAAGTCGTTTTTGTTGGTTGGTATAAAAGTACTAACAGGAGGAAGGTCAGAAGATCTGCTATAATTGAAGATATTCTTGTTTTTTTTTTTTTTTGTAGCATGGAATCCGCTTAACTGTAGTTCTTTCACAGAAGAAGTCAATCTGGTCTTCTGTGGAGAAAACGGAGACTCTTGGGATTGTGGATTTAAGGCATATATTAAGATATATCCAAAGATTTAAGGAATATTTTTTGGACGGACAATCAACAGTGTGATATTTTTAAATTATTCTCAATGGTTAAGTTTTAGGAGGAAGATTTGATACCTAATTGAGTTACAAGCTCATCAATAATCACCAACAGTTTCTGAATTCCTATCCTATTCGAAAGCGAAGCATTGTAATTGGCTGGGTCGACCATATACAACAATCACAAAATTTAATATTCTGCGGATCTGAAGCCCTAAAAATATTTTTTTTGGTTCCTAAATATTTACGGATTATTACTAAAAACTGTACGTGTCGTTGGTCACAACCGGACCTACCTAAAGAAATATCCTGGTGATTGATTTATAACTTTATCCTAAACTTAGATTAAAACCTGTAAAGTCGGACTGGCCCGACTATATGGTACGCTCCATATTCTATGGT